CTGGGCAACCTGTGCCAGGGCCTCCCCACCCTCCCAGGGAAGGATTCCTTCCCAATATCCCACCCACATCTCCCCTTTTCCAGCTTAAAGCCATTCCCCTTGTCCTGTCACTAAGTGCTCTTGTAAACAGTCTTTCTCCATGTTTCTTGTCAGCCCTTTCAGGCACTGCAAGGCCACAATTAAATCTCCTCAAAGCCTTCTCTTCTCCAGGCTGAACGATCCCAATTCTCCCAAGCCTTTCTTCATAGCAGAGGTGCTCCAGAATCTCAGAATCTCCCCACCCTCCCAGGGAAGGATTTCTTCCCAATATCCCACTCAAATCTCCCCTTTTCCAGCTTAAAGTCATTCCCCCTTGTCCTGTCCCTCCAGGCCCTTGTAAATAGTCTCCCTCCGTCCTTCCTCTCAGCTCCCTTCAGGCACTGGAAGGTCACAATCAGGTCACCCCAAAGCCTTCACTTGTCCAGGCTGAACAATCCCAATTTTCCCAGCCTTTCCTCACAGCAACCTGTGCCTGGTACCACCCCAATATCCCATTTAACCAGTCCTCCTCCAGCTTGAGGCTGTTAATTCCAGACTCTGCTGTCATAAATAAACCAAAGCAGAGCAACCATAAATAAACACCACCAGTTTAAAGCTCTCAGGTCTCTGAGCACCTCGTGTCTATTGAGCAGTCAGGTATCAAAGTCTGCTCCCTTTTTAGATCTACTTAAAACCCTTCAGCTCCAGCAGAATTGGGAAAGGACCCACAAGGATCATCCAGTCCAATCCCTGGCCCTGCACAGACACCCCAACAATCCCACCCTGTCCCTGAGAGATCATCCAAACCCTCCTGGAGCTCTGGCAGCCTTGGGGCTGTGCCCAGACCCTGGGGAGCCTGGGCAGTGCCAATCACCCTCTGGGGGAAAAACCATTTTGTAACATCCAACCTAACCCTGCCCTGAGTCCTCACTTGGAGCAAGTAGCAAACCCCCCAGTTCCCTCCCAAAACACCATCAGGACTCTTTCTAACACGCCTTGGACGCTGCCACCGGGGCTCTTTCCCAACAAACCCCACACCTACCCAGACATCTGACCTCTGCCCCGCTCCAGAGCCCGTTGGCCATGCACTCCCTGACCCGGGAGCCCACCAGGGTGTAGCCAGTGTTGCAGGAGAAGATGGCTGTGGCCCCGTAGCTGGTCAGGGTCCCGATCTTGTTCCCGTTGGGAGGCGTCGGCAGGTCCCCGCAGGAGATAACTAGGACAGATCCCAAAAGCACCGTGAGCAAAACCAGGCTGGGAGCAGCTGGTTTGGGAAGAACCTCCCTCAGTCACTCCTTACTGGAGTAAGGAATGAGTGGGAAAGATTATTAAGTAGTTACAAGGATAATAACAATTCAGAGCCGTGTTAGACGAGGTGACAAATACAAGTGCCGTTAATATTTATGTTCAGGACACGAGGGGAGTGCTAAAGACAGGCCAGGAAGAAACTAAAGGAGCTTTTCACACGGAAAGTTTCTCACACAGGAATATTTCTACCATTAACCCGCTGTCAGGTGCAGTGGGAAACTTGACTTGTAGGAATTCCACAACATCACACGATCCCAGAATGGTTTGGGTTGGAAGGGACCTTAAAGATCACCCAGTCTCACCCCCTACCCTGGGCAGGGACACCTTCCACTAGCCCAGGTTGTTCCAAGCTGGCCTTGGACACTTCCAGGGATGGGGCAGCCACAGCTCCTCTGGGCAACCTGTGCCAGGGCCTCCCCACCCTCCCAGGGAAGGATTTCTTCCCAATATCCCAACCAGATCTCCCCTTTTACAGCTTAAAGTCATTCCCCCTTGTCCTGTCCCTCCAGGCCCTTGTAAATAGTCTCCCTCTATCCTTCCTCTCAGCTCCCTTCAGGCACTGGAAGGTCACAATCAGGTCACCCCAAAGCCTTCTCTTGTCCAGGCTGAACAATCCCAATTCTCCCAAGCCCTTGTCCAGCGTTGCCTTGAAATGGCACAAAATTTCCAGTGAAAAGTGACACCCAGCTTTTCCCCACCCTGTGACCTCCAGGACAGAGCTGGCACCTGAAGATGAGACCCCCAGAGGACGCCCAGGTGGGTTTGCAGCAGCTGGAGCCCTGCAGCCACAGCTCCCAGCCACACACTTCAGCTCCTCCTTTTTTATCTTTATTTTCTCTGCCTCAAAGATCTGCAAACCCTCCGGAGCTCCTGCCCTCAGCCAAGGGACTCACGCTGGGTGCTCGTGACCTCAGTGCTCTGCCAAGATCCTGTCATTTGAATTTAGGTGGCAATAAGGCTGAGGGAATAAAACGAGGTCAGGCTCCTGCTCCCGGATCTGGCGGAAGAGCTGGCAGGGGGGAAAAGTACATCTGTCACCCACCCCGCAGTCACATCTCCACAAACAAAGGGAGGCAGGAGGGAAGGAGAGGTTCTTCTGTCTCTGTCTGCACTTAGAGAGGGAAAAAAACCTCCACCTTTGACAAAAGGGAAGATCCAAAGCACAGCAGTCGTGGCAGAACAACTGAGAGCTGCTTGTTTGCCCAGAGTGGTTTTGATTTACGGGTGACACTGCTACCCTTGTAAACCTGGTGTTTGCACGGAGAGGGAAGAGGGGAGGTTTTACACCAGCAGGTTTTATTTTTCCCTTCTTAAAAGCAAACTTCAGAGCATCTGGCAGCGGTGACAGCAAAGCTGCTGGGACCCGACAGCTCAGAGCGCCTGAGCTCACCCAGAGCCGCTCGCATCAAACCAAGAATCACATCAGGACGTGACCTCTCCCTGCATCCAAACCCTCTTCTACCACAGAGTTCTGGTGCATCCACCTCAGGTGCTGCCAAGAGCAGCCAGGGCTGTGGGGTGGCTGCACCCACCAAAGGGAAAGCAAAGGCCCCCCACCCCCTGCGAGACCGCCCTGCCCCGAGTGCTCTTACTTTTACAGGTGGGCATGGGCTCCCCTATGCTCCACTTGCCGTTGGCCTGGCACCTGATGACCCTCTGGCCCGTGTAGTAGTAGCCAGGGTCGCAGATGAGCATGAGCTGGGCGTTGTAGTGGTACTGGATCTCGTAGGTGAGTCTCCACCGGCCGTGCTCCACCGCGATGCTGCCGATGTCGGGACAGGCGACGGCTGGACACGGGGGGTGCAGGGCCAGGGGGGAAAAGGGGACAGGAAAAGGTGTTAATGGGTGTTTGATTGTTACAGTGTCCAAAGGAGGCAACGAGGATGGGAAGGGACTTGATTTGAAGCCGTGGGAGGACACTGAGGGCACTTGG